TCATGCTTTCCTGACTACACAATATTTTACCTAATTATTTATAATTGTTTCAAAATCTAATTGTCTTGAAAAAAGTCTAAATCATATTTATAGTTAGTAATAATAAAAAGTTGTTACCAATCATTTTATATACACATTATTTATAACATGATTTTTTAATATAACAATTTAAAATCAAGCATTACGACAGTAATCATTGTGCGTGTCAGTGTTAAATACTGAGAAAAATTTTAGACAAGTTAAAGCAAAACTAAATAATAAACCACAAGAAATTTAAAAATATAATACTATACATATAATACACAAAACTGAGAAGGACAACAACACATTCCTCTTACAAAATTTCAACTTAAAAGGGTTACATTCCATCATGCAGTTTAAATAATTAACACTGTTAATAAACAAAGTGTCATGACAACCCATTTTTGCTAGGCACTGAAATAATGCAGTGGCTCCTATAATATTCAAAATACTAATATTTGTAATAATATTATGACTCTTTTATAATACTCAAAATACTAATATTTGTAATAATATTATGTCTCTTTAAATACTGTTTCTTTTAACTATCCAGTTAACTGTGCTGTTGTAAATGTCCTACTTATAATCATTTTTACATGTTTTAATACATAAATAATATGTAGCTTTAACTTTCGTGCTTAATAACATATACTATATACATAGGTATATATATGTAGTATATGTTTACAATATGTAGCAGTATACATATACAATATGAAATTGAATAAAATAAATCGATATAAGAGAGATTTTGTTATACCTCTGACACCACATTATTTTACCCAGAATAAATAGGCTAAAAACATGCTACATAAACAAATCATACAAGAGGTTTTGGTATTTTTTATATATACCTCTTACTCAGTGTTGATTCAATTATTTTGATAAGGACGTAACACACCAACTAATGAAAGTAAAACATATTTTGTGAATCGTTTTAACAAGTTATGAAAAATAGATAAGATTGCAAGAATTCGATCAAAATACTAAAATACCAACTTTCTTATAAATAAAAGTTGATGGAACAATCATGTTGTAAGTTAAAACGATTCAAACCACTATAAAGTAACAAATAAAAATCATGTCATTAAAGAAAAAAACAAGTTACAACTCAATGGGTACATCCCCGTAACTAACCTCCTGTAGTAAATCCTGAGATGCAATGGCTTTTAACACGTTTTTTTTGCTAGTTTCTTGAATTTCACCGCCAACCAATAGTTCATCTAAGATAAAGTATGCTTTTTCAAAGTTGAAAATTATATCTAACTCGCATACCTAGTAACACAAAAATTAATATCACTATCGAGAATAATACTATTTATACGTTTTACTTTTTTAAAGGTACGTGTAGCATAAATGAAGTTATACTTACACTTCCAAAATATTTATCCAATAACTCAACGTAACGATGTATAATTTCTAAGGTGAGTAATTCATTATCGTTTTGTTCAATTGCACAACAAAAATATAAACTTGCATATCTAAAAGAAAATCGCTAATGTTCTTATCTATGATAAAATAATTAATCGAAAATTTGATTGCGAACAAAATTTCAAAATTGTGCAATGACAAAATTATTATAGTGTATTATACCTTTTATAGACAACTTTAACATCTTTCCACTCTAGGAAACTTGACATTTTTGGTTTTCGCGCTAATATCGTTGTAATCAATTCTCTCGTAATTTTCTTTTTCAACTTATCAGGATGTGCCACATACCATTTTTGTAGACGCAACTTTCCTTGGCGACTGAACAATAACATAAATTGCATCTAAAAGAAGTTTAACACTTATATAAAAATAGATTTACATATTTTTAATGTGTCGTTTATACTAAAATCGTCATATAAGTCTAATCACGTAGAATATGGACAATGAATATTTACCATTTTTAATTTTTCTTGACAAAATAACCACAAAATTAAACACAACACCTTTCACTAGATCACAATAATGTACGTAAAATCGACTTCAATGGATTCGACTGGATTCGACATTCGACTTCGACTTTGGCAACGCGATTAGGGATTGTATAAGCCGCATCTCCTTCTAACGGAGTATCTTTGAAATACCGTAAACGGCAAAATTCAGATGGTAGAATATAGGCTCATTTCCATTGCATTTGCCGCTTGGCACAAACCAATCAGAAAGGGGAGTAGAAAACGCAAATAAGTTTAAAGCGTTCAGTATCTCTTCAGTATCACCAAGAAAATCGTGCCAAGTCGTAAGCTACATTTTAGCCAATGGTTTCTACTTTATGAATCAATAAAATTTTGTTAATGTACAGTTAACAGTTTTAACTGAGACGATCAGCAATCAATATTCTACTGTAGGAGAAGGAGTTTCAAAAGAAACGAATAATTTCGCAATTTTATACCATTTTTACTGTTAAAAATTTGAAAAACGAAGCTGAAACTTGCATCCATATCCTCTTAGAAAGACTACATATTTAATGTAGCAATTACCTACAAAAAAATTCTCAAACTCAGAGTTTCAGAATTAGACTTAAGAATTATTTATTAAGTATATTACAATTATTGAAAATTTTTAAAACTCCTAAGTTATATTCATAGCTAATGGTTTTTGATTTACGAATCTACAGAATTTTTTAAATTCAGTCATCCCGGCCAACAGTCAATATTATACTCTACGAAAAAGAGTTTCGTAAGCAATAGATAATTTCGTATTTATCGAAGCTATGAACGAAACTAGGAATGTAATGAAATGTTGTTTGTAGGTCTGGTTAAAATAGAAAATGGTATTATATTATCGCATCAACATTATCACTTCTGGAGTGAATGAGGCTAGAATGGAATTCGAGGCCCTGAAAAGGGCCGTCATTATTAAATAGAGTTGTCTGCGGAACACAGGAGGTGTACTTGCTTTTATGTTTCGAACGCAGCCTGTAATTCTGGAGTTTGAACCTCGCGCCACCTCCATACAGCGCAGAACGTTACTGCGTCTTTAGTGGCCCGTACTTCTATATATATATATATTTTTTCCCCTTTAACCGTCGGATTCAAACATGTTATAAAACGGTCAAACAGCAATCGAAAATCATCGTTCTCTAACTTTTGGCTGGCATTCACCTCTAGCGTTG